CATGGACATACTCAGGTATATGCGATCTCCGGAACGGCAGTGATCGTCCCGATGTTTGCATGTTTTTCTTGCAACGCGAACCTCTGCCTTATATGTTCATCTTTATCCAAGTACTTATCAAACGACTTATGTGGACCAGGTTGTCTCTATAAGGCAATGCATTAGATGACAATGAATCGAAGAGGGTTCATCCGCAAACTGACAGTTTTTTTGTGGAGACCGGACACCATTGCGCGATTATTTCTGTCATGCTCGTCTATGTCTACGACTTACCCTTGCCAAAGCGAAGTTCCCTTCACCGTTAGGATTACCTTCTAAAGCACAAATTGCGTATATTTAAAAATTAAACTGTAGCTCCAAGGGCAATGCCATGTTCTTCGACAGAACGCAGTTATTGTCATCTTGTCTGTCCAGATATGCACTAAGAGAAAAATGGATCTTTAAGTCTGTAATGCCTCTCTTTGTGTAAAATCCTCGCTTGATTTAATACCCGCTCAGAGAATAGTGTGTCCCCTCACGCGGGCTCCGTCCCGATAGGTTTCAACTTCAAACATTTGGGTGTGAAAAAAAAACATCTTAACCAAGAATCTATTGCTTTCGTTGATAAATTTACTTTGGATGTGAAAAACGACCTTTTTAGTACCGCATTTGGCGTCAGAAACGGATGACTAAATAATAATTTCATTAGAGATGTTCACAGAGTATGGATTTGAGTGAGAATCTGGAATATCTGGCGAATAAAAGTCTTGTTCCAGCACTTCTTCTAGTATGTTCTTATAAGATTTACCCATTGGTGAAAAATTTGCGGCCTCAGTGGGAGTCGAACCCACCCAGCAGGGCAGACTTTTGCGCAGCCAACGCTCTACCATTAAGCTACGAGGCTCACCGTGCGCTGTCGGTCAGTTTGCTTGTGGGTCGGTTTGCTTGCCCAGCTTTACTGCACATATGGAACCCACCAATACGGACGCAGTAAGCCGACTGTCGGGCAGGATTTCACAACTAATCATCTAGGATCCACCGGACGGACTCGTAGGCTAACCTTGGTTGTTAGAGGTTTAGCAGATTTCAACAATTCGATTAACCCAATGTTCTTATTTTAAAAAAGAACATTTCTAGGAACTGTTACAAGGAATAGCACATTCCTAGAGCCAAACATCTTCTTCGATACACGGCATCGATCTCCCAAACTTGTGCTGGGTACTATACCTACGGATATAGCATCAATAATTATGCGGCGGCGGACTAACTCCGGTGATCATGGTGATGTCCGCCCTGTTTACTGTCAGAATTCTCGTATAATCATGTTCAAGTTTTGCAGGCCTTTCTCATTTTTCTTGTAGACCAAGTCCTTCCAGAAGGATTCCAATGCAGTCGAGGCTCTACTTCACCCCTCCATTGACGCAGCCTTCGAAATTCTGCAGCCTCTTTTCGCTGACTTTGTTAGCGACTCCCGAGGTCAAGGACTGTTATCCCACCCCGATCGCATAAAGCGGATTCTCAACTTCCTGCCAGCGGATCTAACCGCGGAGCGCGACAGCCTTGAGGAGATGTGGTTGAAGGAAACGGAGGAATCGCACGGGGGTTCGGACATCTCCCTTAAGCGCTGGAATACACTGCGCCGATTTCTCTCCGACAGGGGACGATTAAACGTCATTAAGGACATTGTTATCAATACCGTCTACCCCCGCCTGGATGCTCACGTCACTACCGGTGCGTTCCTCCTCTTGATCTAAACCACTAAAAACACCTCTAAAACTCCGTCGGCCATTGTTAAGTTTACTCGCGTGAGAAAAGACACCACACTTGCGCGATGCTGCAACATACGTTGATTGGCTTAACGATTGCATGTGTGCAGTTCGCAGCCGGCATGACCTGCTGTGTCATGCGTGGCCGCTTTTCATTCTTGCCTTAGGTCGCGAATCTGTTCTCTTTCCGTCCTACATAGCACGCCTGGTCACGCAAACTGTGAAATCGCCTTTGAATGTCGGTAACAGAAATGTTTACTACAACTCAGGCACGACTTAGCCTCACGAATTGAGGCGACTGTTCGTATCCCAGGTATGCGTTTAGAAGGCGAAGGCGTTTCGATCGCCGGAATCGTAATTATATTCTTCTGAGCTTTCGGGCTCTTCCGGGAGTCCATCATCGGAGATAAAGCGTCAACGAAAAACAAGCAACACTTATAGGGGACAGGAGTCAATCAACCGTCATAGGGGGGGGTACTCACTATTAACCGGTGTCGGCCGTGTGGAATGTGCCTGTGGAGGGCGATGTATGCGGACGTCAGCTCAATACATCGGTTGACGCTTTATCTTTGACGATGGACTCCCGCAAGGGCCCGAAAGCTCAGATGGATAAAATTATGATTCCGGTGATCAAAACCTCTTCGTCTTTTAAAGACTTACCCTGTCCTTGCTTCTGGTCCTGTCTCCTGTCTTGGAGTAAACATATCAAAGGCGATTTCATTTTCCCGTGTTTGTTTAATCTTGTCTTGGATACGTGGCGCCATCACTTATGGAAGACTTACCAGTTTTCCGTAGGAAGTGCTGCCCTCCGTAGGCGCCTTCTTGTCGCACAGCCTCCATATAGCATCGAGGCTTTCTTCCCGGAGAGTAGGATCATCTGACGCTGCGCAGGCTGTGTGAGGACAAAATGGTCCTGCTGTGACAGCGGTATAATGTATTGATAATCGAATGTGAAAAGATGCTGAGGACGCCCAAGTCGACGTCCGATCTTGACCAATTTGTCGATAACAAGGTTTCAAAAACGGCATGAAAGTAAAATGCGAAGGTCTGGGATTGAACTAAAATCGATCGGCTGGATGTGAATTGACGTCAGGGCCAGCAAGCTCTTAGCCAATGCTTTGTCAACTTACCTCGAGCTTACCAGCTAAACCTCTCAATCCATCGTTGGGGTTTTTGGCTTGTTTTTGTTTCTGGCATGTAGCACGTATAGCTGTCGTGAGCATGTGTCAGCACTGGCTGTTCACGAAAATGTACTGTACAGAGGACAGTACCCGAGTTCAGTGTCTGATGATAGAAAAACCAAATCTCCATTGTATTCCTCCTCTCCCCGCCTTATTCTTCGGGCAACTGTGCCCTCAGTCAGTTGTCGCTGTGAGAACCTGACAAGGTTGGACTGCGATTTCTGCCTTGAAATACGTTCATGTAGGTAAACTTATTCGTCAGTTTTTGTCCTTTTTTCGGATCATATCCAAATTACTTAGTAGGTGAGCGGTTTTTCGATTTGGTTCTTCTTTCCACGTTCTTAGCTTCTGAGCTCCCTCCGAATGCATGTATTGTAGGAGTTTGGCTTACTAGCATGCATTTGACTGTTTTTAGTGAGTTTATTTGGTGCCCCCTAGGGTCGCTCATTGCTCTCGCGACTTTGAATTTCAGGTGTAAACCACTTGCTGAAGAGTCCCTTCTGCGTTCATCCAAAGACCGGCTTCGTGTGCGTACCCTTCGATCCGCGCAAACTAGAGGACTTTGATCCGATGACCGTGCCTAAGCTGGGTGATATAATTGACCAGATGGCATCTTCTCGCAGCGAAGACGGCAGTGAGCGTCATTTGCTGGCCTACAAACACACTGGACTTCGATCAGCTATTGAGATGTTTGAACAATTTGTCAATCGTGTTTCGCCCCAGTCTACTGAGGTCGAAGGCAGCGGCGCTATTAAAGCAGAGGTCACCAATTTTGTTTCCGTTCATCCGGTGCTGGCAGAATCTTAATCCTTGAACTACTTCATATCGCATTTTTATGTACACACATCTTTCGAAGTGTTTTGTGTGAAACGACTATTTTTTATACGTATCACTTGCTCTTTGCACCTTTTTTCAATGTGTTGGAAATTCATGTGAAACCGTTGTTGCAGCGCACAATCTCCAAATGTTCATAGTACAAACCAGTAATTGTAAAAGCAGATGAACATTGCCAGCGAGGAGATGGGAGAAGGAAATTGCTGTTTCTGGCTTGTTAGTCGTCATCAG